TTATGTAAAGCACAAGGCACAATACCTGACATATATGATGATTAAATAAATATTAGTCTTTACTATCACAAGAGTCAAATCTTGATTAATCATGTTAATGAAAGGGTAATGAAACATAAAAAAAATCTAGCGGCACTGACTCTGAATAGTTTTAAATATACAACCTTTGAAATTGTCATTATATTTTAAAACTCTTTTTTAAATTTTGCCTCAATTCTGGCAATCTACAGCACTTTGAAACAACTAATAAAACCAAAATGTGAGAAAGTGGGCTAGAAAATAATTCCTTTGCTTGGAATTCTTAACTACTGGCCAAATGTAAAAAGTCAGCTTTTCCTCTCATATTACTAAAAACCATGAGCTTAAATCAGTTTTCCCTTCTCTCTTAATGTACAGTTGTTTAATCTTGGTCTGGATTGAGAAGTAATTAAGTGTCATGTTTAAAAGGCCTCCTGGTGGACTGCAAAATAGATCTGAAAGAAAACAGATGGTCAGATAGTCACCAACAGATTCTCAATCTGTTTATCTTTATCAGTAAGTAATGAAATATAACATTCACCAATTATAATTCAGTTAAAACAGAAAATATTCCTGTAAAAGATATATGTTTGATTGCACAGTATATATTTTAGAAAATAATTTAAAGATTAACTACAGAGAATTTGAACATTTGACCCGATTGTGTGTGGGGCTTGAATTTATTTTATTTTTTGAGGCTAACCCAGGGGAAGGACTGACTTTGAAGGACTGACTTTAAGGTTTATTGATCAAAACCCTTCCTCAATAGTGTAACTAGTCTTTGAGCTAGGGATAAATGCATTTTATTCTTCATATTCTTCTCTCTTACCAGATTATGAATCTTTTACTAAATTCCATAATATATTCTTCCCTACAACTATTTGACTTTTAAGTATCTTTTTTAAAAATATATATGTTTTTATTGATTTTAGAGAGAGAAGAAGGAAGAGGGAGAGAGAGAGAAACATCAATGGTAAGAGAGAATCATCAATCAGCTGCCTCCTACACGACCCTACTGGGGATGCAGCCTGCAACCAGGGTATGTGCCCTGACTGGGAATTGAACCAGGAACCTCTTGGTTCATGGGTTGATGCTCAACCACTGTGCCACACTGGCTGGGCTTAAGTACCTTTTCAAATACTCAAGAATCATCACCATTGATAACTGTGTTTTCCAAGCCATTATTCCAAATATTCCATCATTGCTGTGAAATTTAGGAAGTCAGTCATCAAACAGAGGGCACCCAGCTGAAGGCACTGATCTTGAGTTCCTACATTTGCCATGTAAAAACTGCCCAGTTTCCACTGTTAAAGACATCCAAAATGCATGTCCAGTCATCTGATGAACAGTTTCTGATTTTGCTCCTTTAAGTAGTTTATAAATACCTTTAAAAAGAATTCAATCAAACCTTGGAAGCTATGCAAAGACCACTGCATACATCAAATCAATGTTTGATTTATAAATACAGAGACAGAGAGGCAACAAAGTTGTCACCTAAGATGCAATTAATTGAGAATTATATAGATGAAGAACTGTGGCTTATTGTTCTATGTCCTTATCTGAATGAAGAAAATACTGTGACTAGTGACTCATGCACTGGCTATCATGAGTGTTCATTTTACTCACTTGTTTTTATAACATGTACACTGAATACTGCCATACAGACAATGTATGCATATTTCATTTGCTATATGGACAACCAAGTAGTTTATGCTTTAGCAGTCATAAAAGAAATCATTTTACAAAAGTTATTCCATAAATAAAACTCACAGAAATCATCTATCTACCACAACTTTAAAATTTCTACATAAATCATACCTAGAATGCATAGAGGCCACAAAATGGAGATCATTATAGATCTAAGGGAAAGAAGTATAGAAGGAAAACTCCTAAACCAGTTTAAACCAACCTATTATCACTCTAGTAATTCCAACCAAAGGCCAATGTTGATTTTTGTTAAAAGCTATTGAAATTTAGTAAGCTATATAAGCTCTGTGCTTACTATTGCTTTTCTATTAAAAGTAAATTTATGGGCTAAGAAAATCATACTGTACATTACTGTTATAGTGAATCAAGATATGCATGAACAGTTCTGAACATGCAGAAATCACTTCCTATAGACTGACAGTTTGGGAGTTGCATTCCTTCTAAATGGTTTCCATAAAACAGAATAGTATTAAGACCTGAATTGCATACCTTGACCTATAAAAAATCAGTTCCAAATGTGCATATGTCTTCCCAATCTCCCTGATCTTGAATGAATAGTCATTTATTCCACTTACTGGCATTCACCTTTAAACATACTATCCCTCCTTCACACTAGCCCCCTTTTTTTCCTATTCCCCTGTATGTATATGCCCAGGCAATTGTTCCACTTAGAAGACTGACTCCTTTCCATACCTCTCACCTTATGTTAACATTTATCTCCTTATTCCTCCTAGCTGTCAAGCATCAATGGGAAGATATATATCTTGTTGTTTAAACACATTACTTGGGTTCAGACAACTTGTATGTGATTCAAGCTCTGTGATTTACTAGTTATGTGACCTTGAGAAACCTGTTTAACCTCTCTGAACCTGTATTTCCTTATCTTAAAAATAGAGATAATCATAGTGTCTAATTCATAGGACTATAGTTGTCAAGAAAAAATGAGATAGTATCTGACACACTTTAAGTGTTTCTAGCATTATTATAGTCACTATCAAGAAATCCATTGCAAAAACCAACATACTTGCTTTCATTTCTAAACTTGAAAAGCAAGTGTTACTCTTCCATATTGGGACAGAATTGAGTACTAGTTTGAAAACTTATTAAAAAAATCAGGCTATGAGGTAGGCTTTGAGGTAAAGGGCAACTTGAAAAAAAGAAAGAATGTTAATAGATCCTATGCTGCCTGATAAAACATCTAATATTTGTTATTTTTATGACAACAATTAGTAGGAGTCAGAAAACCGTCAGAGATTACCAATACAAAACCAATAGCTATATTTTAAATGTTCTTCAGAGAACTACACTTAGTCACTTAATAGGAATACCTTTGTGCAATTGTTGGGTTCCCATTATGATGTTTGCTGCAAATTTTCTAAATTGTATCTTAAAACAACATTGCATCAGTCTTTGAGGAAAACCCTTAGTATTGTAAACTGAAGTGTCCCCATTTATTGTATAAAGGATCTCTTCCTGAAGTACACTCAATTTATACTGTTTTAGTATTATTTGAAAGTGCTGTAAGATTATAATAAAACGAGGATTTATTTTGGTAATATGCAGTAGAACATTGGTAACAGGTGCATCAGAAGTATTGCTGCAACAACAGACAAATCTCTAATTATCCATAAGAAAACAAAATTGAAACAAAACACAAGAGCATAAATATTTACTTGCATAGTCTTCAACAATGGAGGCTAAAAATGGACATAATAGGAGAGAGCAGTCATTTTTCAGGCTCTTAGAAATTTATCTAAACAAAGAGAGAGGTACAATTGCTCTTACATGAACAGAAATTCTGAAAGGAGTTCCTTCTTGACTCTGCTTCCAAGGAAGAATAAATAGCAATATTGAAACTGCTTTATCACCCAAAGTGAAACTAATTTCTTGATCTGTTCAATCTAAGTAAAGGTTTAACTAAAGGTATTAAGCTGGTCTTTAAAATTTTACAATCATTGCATTGTACTTGAGACTCTGAACGACTCACATATTACTTTGAAATATAAAAATTAATATACATGGAAAATAATAAGGCAAGAAGCTCATAAGGTTCAAAGGCAATATAAAACATTTTCTTTTGTTCACCCTAACTTTGCTGAAAAAATGTAAGGTTAGGTATTCTATTTCAAAACTGTCTAAGCAACCCACACATGGTGGCCAAAAAGACAAAGTTAAAGATTCAATCAAGGTTCTTGTAATTTCACACAACCTTCAGTTCTACTCCAAAATCTCTTTGGTGGTAAATAAACAAACCAAAAACATGGGAAAGCTGGTGTTCTGAAGCTCAGAAGAGGGAGGGGGTTCCTACATCCTGCATCTGAACCCACACATCTGCTCTGTTGGCTTTTCTCTTGAGTTGTAAACACTTTCACTTATCATGGATATACACTAAGCGTTCACCCTTTTGCTACCCATAGCTACTGAAAATTGTTTATCCTTTTGCTACCCACAGCTGTTGAAAATTATTATAAATTAAGAGCATGTGAATGGGGGGGGGTTGTCCTATCATTTGAAGAAACAGCAACTTTAATCTTCCACTGCATAAGAAGCTACTCCTTAGTTCCCTTTCAATTTTTCAATGCATTTGAAGCAGTTAGGAACTGTTAGAAGTAAAATCTTTTGAAAGAAAAGAAAAAAAAAGTCAAAATAAGGGACAATATGGGAGGGGAAAAAACAAATCCCTCATCCTTAATTTTTTTTTAAACCCACAACTTTGTTTCCTTGTTCCCAACTTCCCCTCTCATTCTGCCTAGTTCTAACAATCTTTAGACTTAAGTTAAACACCCTCTCCTATATACTAGCAAAATAACTCTCTGAAAATAAACACAATGCCTCAGTGGGCCTTCACTCAGTCATTAGCAGTTAGAGCATGATTTACATCCTTTACAGATGTGCACTTCTGCCCTGTACCTCAGTAACTAGAGCACATATGTCAAATGTCCCACTTTTGAAACTCACCAGTATGTGATTTTTTCCATGACTTCACCTAACCTTAAAGACTCTCTAGCACCAACTCTCATCTACTAAAACTCGGAAGCTTTCTTTTTCCTTCAAAGAAGAAACGTGGCCCTAACGTCACTTCACAAGGCAAACAAAGCTAAATTCCATGAAAAATGAAATCGATGCAACAAAGGGAAGAAAGGAAAAAAGGAGGGGGTGGGGTGGGAATGTCTTTCGAAAGAGAAGCTGCCAGAATTTCTGCAATTTAATGATTCTCCGCAGCAGAAGACTGCTGTGTAGAAAAACAAAAAAGGTGGGCTCCCCACCCTTCTTACCGCCGTAGAGCCTGAGGAAGATGCAATATACACACGGATCACCATCCTGGGAACAGTGGTTGAGGTTGTTTGGGTCCTGCAAATGGCTTGAGAGCAGCTGCAGCAACGGCTGGAATTGAGCTAGGGGCCGAGCAGAGGTTGGAAGAGAAGGGTGGGGGAATGGGGAAGGCTGATCTCGCCAGAACCCCGCCTCCTCCCTTGGCTGCTCTCACTGCGCTGGGAACTCTGTAGTCCCTGCCCCAAATCCCGGAAGGCACAGACTTGTTTGCATCATTTCTTTTTTTTTTTTTTTTTAAATAGGGAATCTCGAATAGCACCGCGAGATCTCTTGAAACATTACTTTTTGACGATTGCCGCCCCGAGAAGAGGAATAGAAGAAACAGAAAAAAAAAAGGAGCTTTTAATTAAATTAAACTAGAATGAAGGACCTTTTCCCGTGGAGACTAAAAGTTCTGCATATAACTTTCTGCTCAGAAACGTATGCAAATAAGAAGACAGATATTCCTTGAAAGAGGAAGCTGTATGTTGAATCCAGACGCTAGTAAGAAAGCCCAGGCTTTCAGAACCTTGTACATTTTAAGACTCCTATTAATTATGTACTGATTGTTCTGATGTTGGATGACAGCAGGAATTGGGCACTGAAGGACTGAGCGATGCCACAGAAGGTTTTAAAAAGTTTCAGGTTTCCCTAAGCCCAGAAAAGGCAGGATTGGGTTTCTTTGTGAGCTTTGCTTTTTGTTAAGATAGGGGATCCTTCTTCTGTGAGAATACTCAGGAAGACTGATTGACTGGCAAACTCAAGAATGGAGAAAGAAATTGAAAACCAATAAAAATTGAAAGTGCGGTGTTAGAAAGTAAATGAGTTTTTGTTTTGTTTTGTATTGTTTGCTTAATAACTGACTGAGGAAAGGGTGTTTGGATCCCATGTTGTAGGAGATGTTGAAATGGAAAGCAGAAAAAGAGAGCAAAAGGCTATTTATAGCTCTAGGGAAATTAGCAAACAAAAATGTCCAGAGAGGGACCATATACCTCAGACTGTAATTTCAAATTTCCAAATTATGTCAAATGAACAGAATTAAGGAACTTGCAAATTGAGTGGATAGAGGGAGTCAGTCACCTGTGTCCTACTTCCTTACTTTTCCTTTTCAGTTTGTTTCCCTCTATATTCAAGTGGTTTTATCACCGTTCAATAATTGTAGTAGCTTCCTAACTCTTCCCTGTTCACAGGTTTTCCCTTTTCCAATGTATGTGATCTATAGAACAACCTTGAGAGGTGGATATTATTACATCAGTTTTACAGAAGAAACAGAGACTCAAGAAAATAAGTAATTTCCCCCAAAGTCATATAGCTACTAAATTCCAGAGTCAGGACTAGAACTCAAGTCTAACCAACTCCAAAGGCCACCCTCTTAACCATAATTGTAATATACTGCCTGGAACAGGGAAAGTACTCAATAATTGTTAAGTTTTTTTCCCCCTAAAACATCACTTTTATATGGCACTAAAGACAATGTAATCTGAAATACATACTTAACATAGTTCTCCATTAATTATCAATCCAAACCTACATTATGTTTCTAAGGAGCTCCTACCATAATCTGGCCCTACACTATTCATACAATCTTCATTGCTTTCATAAATTAACTTCCCTGTATAATCATTGTTGACTCCCCACTGCAATCACAGTACTTACTCATTTTCATGTCTTTCTTTGTCCTATCCCTTTATTCATCTTCCCCACATCCTCATACTCTTGCCCCCCTCATCTGTCCAACTCTTTTTATTTTTTTTATTGATTAAGGCATGACATGTGTCCTTATCCCCCAATAGTCCCCCCACCCCCCTACTCATGCTATCACCCCTCTGATGTTTGTGTCCATTGGTTAGGCTTATATGCATACATACAAGTCCTATGGTTGATCTCTCCCCCTTACCCCCACCCTCCCTTACTTTCCCTCTGAGGTTTGACTGTCTGATCGATGCTTCTCTGTCTCTGGAATTCTTACCATTTGCAACAGCATGGATGGAACTGGAGAGCATCATGCTACGTGAAATAAGCCAGTCAGAGAAATATAAATATCACATGATCTCACTCATTCATGGAATATAATGAACAACATAAAGTGATGAACAAAAACAGATCCATCTGTCCAACTCTTGCCCTGTGTAGTGAGAGAGGTCAATGGTGGAAAAGGGGATATATGTAATACTTTCAACAATAAATATTTTTTAAACTTAAAAATAGAGCTGCCTTTTGACCAAATGATCTGACCTCTGGGAATATATACTAAGAATCCTGAAACACCATCCAGCATTACATTAGAAAGATCATACACCATGACCAAGTGGGATTTATTCTGGGGATGTAAGGATGGTACAATATCCACAAATCAATAAAAGTAATACATCACATAAACAAATTGAGAGACAAAAATTACAAAATCATATCAATTGATTCACAAAAAGCTTTTGACAAAATCCAACACCCTTTCTTGATAAAAACTCTCAACAAAGTGGGAATAGAGGGATCACACCTCAACATAATAAAAGCCTTATATGACAAACCTACACCCAACATCCTAATCAATAGGCAAAGACTAAAATTTCCCCTAAGAACAGGAAGAAGACAGGGATGCCCACTTTCACCACTCTTATTCAACATAGTACTGGAAGTACTAGCCATAGTAATCAGACAAGAAAAAGAAATAAAAGGCATCCAAATAGGAAAAGAAGTAAAACTGACATCATTCGCAGATGGCATGATATTATATATAGAAAACCCTCAAGACTCCAACAAAACACTACTAGACTTTATAAAGGAATTCAGCAATGTAGCAGGATACAAAATTAACACCCAGAAATCTATGGCCTTTTTATACCCCAATAATGAACTCACAGAAAGAGAAACTAAAAAAATAACCCCAGCCCCAGTTGATTTGGCTCAGTGGATAGAGCATAGGCCTGTGGACTGAAGGGTCGTAGGTTCAATCCTTATCAAGGGCACATGCCTGGGTTGTGGGCTCAATCCCCAGTGGGGGGGGGGGGGCTGC